GATTACAAAAATTTAGGTTTCTCTTTTAATGTGTAAAAGACAGATAACTGCTACTATACTCGTGACTAATGTTGAAATTCAACAGGTGGTATTAGAGGCCAAGGTGGTTATGATTACAAAAATTTAGGTTTCTCTTTTAATGTGTAAAAGACAGATAAAAGCTACTATACTCGTGACTAATGTTAAAATTAAACAGGTGGTATTAGAGGCCAAGGTGGTTATATTAACAATAATTTTGATTAATATGTTCAATGGCAAATGTTGAAATACAAAACTAATGTTTTTTTCACAGTCACTATAAATAAAACATTACCGTGTGATTCTGGAAACCACTACCAAAAACACAACAAAGGCATATAATGCTCACAGAATTATCTCCAAAATTCAAATACAATGTACCGTGGTAGGACAAAGTACAGGTTTAATATTTGAAAGATATTGCCTATACATGTTTGTATAGAGTTGTAACTGAAAACACCATGACAGCTGGAGCTTACACTAATGGACATTTGTACTGCAGGGTAGAATTCAGTAAATATCAAAGCCATATGTTCTACATATTATAACTTGGCTACAAACTCAGTAAAAAACATTTTTAAGTTCACTTTTCAGCAAATAGAAATTATACTTAGTTAGAATTAAGGAATGTACAAAAATTAAAACAGACTAGAAGTTGTATTATATGAAAGCTTACCAACAATTCCAACAGCTTTGCATGCCCATAGAGGTATGTTAAGAACCAGCCTGTAACTGTCTTGTGAATCAAGTGACTGTAACAGACTTGGCACCCACAGCCCTTAATTTACATTACAATAGTTGTACTACACACATAGGCAGCAGGTAAGGTCTCACATAGTAGAGTCAACTAAAAGAAGGCTAGAACTAATCAGCAAATCCTTTGACAGTTACCTAACTCATTGTTATTTAATCAGCTTCAAAACAATGTAACATTTAACACTTGCATGTCAATCTAATTATAAACTGACTTTCAATGTGTTGATAATGTGATCAATCACAGCATACACACCTTGACGTGTCCTCCTAAAAAAAATACAGCAAAAAACAAGTAGCCAAATTCAAATTTGTATAAAACTATTTAACAAGTGTGTTAATTGGCTTATAATTGCTATCAGATTAATCCTTGTCATTCTAATGAACTGAGTGACTCCATGGCAGACTACAATAATAATGAACTGGATACTACAATTAGCTTCTAGAGAATGAACAACATATAATAATTGAATATTTCATGAACACACTTGAATGTTGTTAGTTTATAAAGATACTGGCAAAGTTAGAATTTCTTTTTTGTTGTATCTAAAAATATACAATTCAAGTTATTTATCATGATTTGAGCAGGACAGTGAAATCTACATTATGGTCTGATTGTAATTTAACATTTAGTTAGCTTCATGGTTGTCTAAAGTTATTTTTGAAAATGCCTCATAATTATAAGGTACAGTGTAATCTGCCTGAATATATCTCATATGTAACTTAGGCAAATACCATGAAGATTATGTTGAAATTATCAAGGAGAATAATACTCGCTTTAAAAAATATTAGTTTACATGAAACGGTAAGCTAGCTAATAGCCAGTTTGAAAATTAAGTTACGTCCTGACTGTACTGTAGCTTATAAAGTGAAAATGATATTATATATTTTAACATCGTTAAGGTAAAAGGGAAGGTCATTTTCTAGAATAATCATTTTGAGAAGATGCCCTTTATAGGTGTTCCACCTGACACACCTTCCTATCCAGTTCTTCATGAACACACTTGTTGAACGTTTGTTGAAGCATAATAAATAAAAAAAATAATTTTGAAGCAAATAATACAAGAACAAGCTTGTGAATGAATTGATGATTTTGGAAGTGAAAAAAGAGATTAACTTAAAAATAAAGTAAACAACACTTACTAGTGATACTTATGTTGCAT